CATCATCACAATCATAATCATTGTAATCATGATCTTCATCAACATCGTCTTCATACTCAATCCTATACCTGTCCAATAGTGATTCCATCAACATCCATCTCAGTCAAACTCTTCAAGAAGTTTCCTTCAGACATCATAGCTTTAGCAGATTTCCAATTCACTTCTTTGTAACCTCGAAGGATAACGATGCATTCTGATACCATCTGGACGGCACGTGGAGGCTTCGCGAACGATCTGAAACAAATCCACATTATTGGTTAAAACAATTTGGAGCATAAGATGTCATCAGCCACGCGGTGCATCTGGTGCGCGCAATATTCCAGTGGAATTGAGTTTTTCGACCCGGGTCAAGCTTCTTTACGAATTTACAGCGTCCCCTGCGATTGGCTAGGTTTAGGGGCGGGGTTGGGGAAAGGTCATGTTCTATTGTTCTACACATGTGTACCCTCCAATAGGATCACATCTTGCAAATTCGTGAAGGAAGACCCGTTTTTCGTCGTGCAAGCATGATCGATAACAATGCTGGAAAACGATGGCAAAATTTATTTTGGTATGGCGCAGGCAAGAATTGTCAGCGTTCCTAAATTCATAGCTAGCAAGGAAATAAGCTAATCCTGTAAATCCTCTAAAATCTCACTGAAAACATTCATGTGTCTATTTTGCATACATCGTTTTCCACGTTTCCTCTTCCCACTAGCAGGCGCGACATTCCTCAACGAGCAAAAGAGTTTCTAAATATCAATTTTTTAAAAGACTTAGACTTTATTCGATGCTTTAGCCGCACAGTACTTATAGTCAAACTTACCGTATTTCTGTCACATCAGACTTATCCAAGTCTTGCAGCGCCAACTTTGCTTCTTCTAAAGCTGGCAACGCCTCTGCCAACGCTTCCTCTGCATCGTGTTTTTCTACTTGAATAATCTTGTTCTGCTCGCCAATTTCCTTCTGTTTTCCTTCCGCCATTTCTTTCTTTTCACTGGCTTGTTCCGTAGCTCGCTGGATTTCCACCAGCAGCGTCTCGCAAGCTTCAGTTTTTTCAGTGACAGCGACTTTTTGGACTTCAAGTTTCTCGTTTAGCTCTTTAAGCTGCTCGCTGGCTGCGAGAAGCTTGCTCAGACCTCCGTCTAAACGATGACACTGTTTGAAAAACATCAAGTAAGCTTTTGAAATACAACTAGCATCAGCCTCAAAACAGTAAGACATGAAGGGAAGCACAGGTGGCTTGCACGCTGAAAATATGCCTTCTCTTACTGCTTGGTTTGATCCCTTGCCTTGCAATCATATTTAAGTAGAGCTGCTTGATGGTTCTCTCTTGTATTTTTAAGGCTTTCTTACGTTTTTTCCAGCTTTAAATCCCAATATTTGATCATTAAACGAGAACCACGGGTTTGTTAGTTACTGGATATTATATCCTCTTCTTTCTTCCCCAAAAATAGCACACATAACCACTTTTCATATTTTCCTTCCCTTCCCTTCCCTTTTCTTTCCTTTCCCTTCTTTCCCTTCCTTTCCCTTCCCTTCCCTTCCTTTCCTTGCATTTTATTTTATTTTACTTTCTAAAACCTTTCTCATCAATGAAAATTATGTTTTATTTACAATCTACTAATACTTCAACTATTGGTTTACCTGTTCAAGCACATATTTATCCTTCTCCTCCAATAGTTTATTATAGGTGTTAATAAAATCCAAATAGTTCTTGGGGGTTGTGTAGTTCACACGTCGAAGTTTCTGGAGAAAGCTTACACTGTACTTGCCAACAGTCTGGTGGACAAAGACAACGTGGTCTACGACTGTCTCGCGGTAATCATCAGGAATCTTGTCATTCTGGAGGAATAGGAAGAAATACTTTAGTATCAAGAAGCTCTTAATGGCCACATTTATAGGTGTGTTTACGCTATAGGTGCCATCCCTCTTTCTCTATCGTTCTCTTGATTATCATGTTCTGTCCTTCCCTCCCTCCCTCCCTCCCTCCTTCCCTCCCTCCCTCCTTCCTTCCTTCCCTCCTTCCTTCCTTCCCTCCCTCCCTCCCTCCCTTCCTTCCTCCTTTCTTTCTTGTTTGGTTCCACACCATCTTGACCTACAAACCTCTAACCCTAAACCTTGATTTATTTATTTAAACATTGTTTGGTCTGCTTACATTTACGTGACCCTATATTAATCCTACTCACGTTTTCTCCCAGGAATACAGAAGCCACAGCGTGTAGAGCTTGTTCAGGCCAAGCAGTAAACCAGTCAATACTACAGTTATTTACCAGACCAGGGAAGTTACGACAACGAGTCCTCAGCACATCCCCCACGGGGGACATTGCCAACACGATATGGAGGTTGTTAGCACACTTAGTGACAAAGTACTGCCAGATAGATTCACGTGCTGGTGGGATGCCTGCTTTATTTGCCTCGTCGCGTACCTGAATATCATCAATGGTAAATATTAACCTCTTTTTACTTTGCGGGTTCCCTGTGGAACGGAATAATTTGATTCTATGCGCATGCGCTAAATTGTCCAAGAAAACCAATCTCGTTTTCAGAGTCGTTATTCCTTACTGCGCGTGCTCGAAGAAATAATTAGTATCTGGGAAAATCAAAACTGGAAGGCCCAGATTCTGGGTTTCTCGCACATGCGCATTATGACGGACTAGATTGAAACAAAGAAAGCTCACCTGTCCGATGATGCCTTCTTTCTCATCATCAGCGAACAATGCAGGAACCATTCCTGATGTCAACATGTTGTTGATCAACTCTAAAAACCCTGGAAACGAGAGGAACAAACTCGTAGAGTTTTCATTGTTTTGACCCACAGCTAGGGGTCTAGTGCAAGGGGGTTTACATCTGTCTCTATTATTATTTTGATAAATGATTTCCTAGATATATGTGCTTTAAATATATTTACCTTCTTGTGCAACATGTGCATCGGTAAAGAGGAAAACCATTCTCTTGTTCTCGATCCCAAGCTGTTGATAAAGTCCTTTCAGATCTTCTCTAAAGCTGTTCTCGTCATATCCACGTGTCAGGGTGATCTCGAAGACGCCACAACCCGCTGAAAATGCAGCTAGTTTGGTTAAGCTTTGCTTGCCGCTACCCCCTACCCCTACAAGTAGGGCGTGGCCTTGATCCATGCGAATGACGCGGTGGATGCGGGTTAGATGTTCGATGGCGTCGTCGAATAATACTAAGTTCATTGCTGCGTGATCCATATTGTATTCTTCTAGAACCTGTGTCACAATACACCAATATCATCATCAGTATCATAAATATCACAAGCATCTTTGTTCGTTAAAACCATCAGTCATCATTCTTGCCATAAAACAAAACATTCACAAACACCGTCATCTATTAGCATCATCATCATCATCCTCATCATCATCATCAAGTATCACCATGCATCATCATGTGTCACGCATCATTATCATCCTCAAGCTTCACCATGCATCATCATGTGTCACG